TCATTCAAAAGGAAATTTATACATTTCTGATATATTTTTTTCAGTTAATGAGAATGTAATTGTCCAGGCATTAACTGTGCTGAAGAAATGGTGTCTACATATCACCAATAAAGTTCCTGGCAACCTGTTTCAAATGTTTGAGGTATGGTTTATTTGTACTGTGTAGTTTAACATGGAAAGTTGAATAAGAGTCTCTGGTCAGAATTCAGAAGTTATGACATTGTTCCTTCATCTCTTTAGAAAGCCATGTTGAACAAAAAGTCCAGTTCAATGGTCAGAGGAGGATATCTTTAATTGTATTGCAGCATCTTGTAGAGGTTGGGATTCAGAATGATATTTTTTTTCTTATGAATAAATTGTGATGTTCTCAACCTATATTAATTTTTTGTTCAGGTAATACTTTGAATCAAGCAGTTTCAACAATACCGCAACTTCTGAAGGTAAGTTTGATTGTCTTTATGATACCAGTAATCAGGCTAATGCAGGATATTATAAGACACAGGCTTTATTTACCATTTTATCATTTGTAATGATGTTATTCACCAACTACACCAGTTGTGATATTTTCCTATATTATGTATACTTCTAGACAGTAGAAAAAGTGTTCACTCAAAGTCATCAACCAAGTGTTATTTCTGAAGCACTGACAGCTACGTTAATATTGATACAACTTGGGCAATCAGATGTTGAAATTGGTATGTTCATTTATCTAAGAACTATATTGTTTTCAAATAGATCTGTAATAATCCATCCATTGGTTTGCAGATTCAAAACTTCGTTCATTTTGGGACTGTGTTTTTGATTCTAAGAGTCAGATATTTACTGCTACTAAATTCCTTTCAAGCGTTACAGAAGTGGGTAAGAAAGCATATCTTGTAGTTCCACTTTACATTTTTTATTTCGGACTCAATTTTTCAATAAAATTCTTCACTTAAGTGTTCCACCAGCTGCACCTGATTCTTGAAAAGTTGATGAGTCATCCTGACGAGAAAATCGGTGTTGAAAATGCAAGGTATCCAAAGTTAGTGGAAAATAATCGAGTTTGTTTTATTATTAATGTTGGTGTCTCTCTTAGCTGGTGGTTCTCTGGTCTGGTGTTCACCCTGACACATCAGAATTATCAAACTCGCCAACAAGCGAAGAGTTGTTTTTCAAAACTGTGCTCCTTGGCGGAGGATGGAGGAATCAAGTTGCAAATGATTCTGCTTGAGAAATTCAGAGAACTTTTAAATAGTTCAGAGGTTTGTGTTGTGTTGCGTCCCAGTCTTACCTGCATTTCTCAGGAGAAATGAACGTGTCTTAGCCTACCTCCCTCGCTTTAGGTCACCTCATCAATGCTCAGGAAAACTGAAGTGGTCTCAGATCAAAAAGTCGAAAATGAAAACACAGTGAACTTCTCACCAAGAATTCTTGCTTCAGTTCTTGAGAATATTGTCACCATCCCACTTAAAGATCGTGACGACAAGAAATATGCTCCGAGCGTTATGATCTGCGTTTTAGAAGACGCTCATCATCCACTTATAGGTACAGTCAGTGTTATTTAATATCTCATATTCGTTATTTAAATGTGGCAATAATAACTGTATATATCCGATAGGTTCATCCAATATATTTTTCACATCTAGCTTCATCCAACCCAACTCTGTGGAGAGATTTGACTCTGCAACTCAAGTTGAATATTGAGGAATTGATCAAAAAAATAAAGACGAAATATTGAAAATGTTTGTGTCGAGCAAAAATGTAAAGGTTGGTTTTGAAATTCTCAATGAATATAGACAAGCATTCTTGGATTCATTTAGCATTGGTTTTGTTGACGTTGGCTGTTGTTTCTCTCTCTTTCTGCGTGAACTAAAACTCAGGAGTTAACCACAAACATATCTTATATTTTAGGTACTTCCAGCCCTCATACGAACTTTACTTATAGAGGCGGAGAGTATTATATTTGATGACGTGATGGCTTACGTCATAAAAACGTTGCGAAATTCCAAGTTCGAAACTGTGACAGACGAGGAGTTTGGAATTTTCAATACACCAGAAGGTGTTCTATACGATCAGTCGAGGGTCATGGAGTAAGTCATTTATTTTAAAGCGTTTACTACCAGAGTCAGCAAAGTGCAGAGACTGACAACGTTTTTTTTAGAATAAAGGAAGGTGAACGATTTCAGCATCATAATATGAAGCGAGAGTCGAAAGCGTATTCCTACGAGGAACAGTTGGAGGAATTGCAACTCAGGAAGGTTTGTCAGGAATTATTCAATCAATTGGTGCTTATTATAAGTACAAGAAAGTCTACAGTATATCTTGATGTTTGTTAGTACTGCTTGTGAAAATGAAGTGAAAATATGTTTCAGGAATTAATGAAAAAGAAGATATCAAGTGAAAATGTTGAAATGACGAAGAAAGAACGTGAAGCGATGATGGCACAACTCGAGAAAGAAAATGAAGTTAGGAAAAGAATTGAAGAAGTAAGTTTATTGCGTATACACGAAGTTAGAATTCCAATGAAATTGTTTATCTTATAAATTATCATTTCAGCTCGATATAGAAATCAGTCATGCTTGCCTGGTGGCTCAGACAGCTGTTTCTACGAAAGCTCCTTCGTTGAGACAACACATCCCTATCTTACTTCAATCTATTACGTCACTGTTTAAGTCCCCTTTGGCTGCACCACGTGTTCTGCACGTTTTTATCACGCTTGGAGATATCGTGTTTCCAAAGAAAATTCATTATTTAGGTAGGTTTGACAATATTATTCTGATATATATATATGTTTAACTAGTAAATTAACTTGTAGGTACACCACGTAAGTATTTAATACTGCAAAGCTTTCGGTCCGTTAACCCGGGCCTTCATCAGTGCAATATTCTTCATGAAATACTTATTGATGTCACCATGCTAACTTACAAGAATATTATGTTGAACTAATCAAAGCAAGGAATATAACAGTGCTATTAAAAAACCCTTCAACTCAATTTAAATCAAATGAAATGTGCAGGAACTAAAAGTTGGAATTTATTCCAATTCATTCTTGTCGCATTTTCTTTCCAGGTGAATGTATAACATGGCTGACATTACAACTGCACCAAGCTCGTTGTCCATTGCGTTTACGTTGGGAAGAAAAATATTTGGCTGCTGGGGTGGAGAGAATGATTAACGATCTTTATAACACAACTATTTCGTCCGAAGAAAGCTTAAAATCTGCCAGGTGAGAATGTAGCGGCTGTCACAATGGATAAGGTTACTCTCTTCATCCAATATTTAGAGGATAATTCACTATTAAGAGTCTTACTCGTGATATTTTCTGTTTTAGGCTGGGTGATGAAAAGGAACTGTTAATGTGTACGACGTTTTCCTTCTGCTTTCCAATGATTCGTTGTATTCTAACAAACTCTGCCCTGAGTGTTGATGTTAAAGAAAGAACAATGGAAGTTTTAGCGCAACACTGTAGACTGCGCATGCGTGAAGAGGATATTGATGAACGATATAGTGAGGTACAGTACTAGCTACAAGATTTCACCATCATTTAGTTCCTGGTTAGTAAACACTTTGTAATTATACAGTATAACATTGATATCAAATGTAATTTTCTTAGACTGGTCCGAGCAACCTTCCTCGGGCGGAAATGTTGAGATTGCTTACAGAAATTATTCAACACCATTCTGACTCCGTCACAACTTCTAAAATACAAGTAAGTTTCGGTTAATAATAAACCTACTGTGAAACAAAAACTGTAATTCTCGAGTTTAAAAATTCCTTTTCAAATAAAAGACCGCAACAATTCATAAAATTGATTTTATTAACTGATTTTTTTAGTTAAAATGTGGCGATAACTTAATAGTTAATTATTTTTTCCAGCGCCTGGGTTGTGTCAGTATGGTAGAGTTATCGAAATCTTCAAGTGGCGAGGAAGGCTGTACGATTGCTTCAGATGAAGAAATCAATGTTCTTCTCTCGTCACTTTATTCCTCCGTCTCATCTCTTCGCTATGTTGCTATACAATGTCTTCAAGCTCTAAACTTAATTTTACCGAACATGGAACAAGATTCTGTGGAGGTCCATCCGGTGGTACAAAGAGTTTGGACGACAAGATTTGACAGCGATAGTGAAACATCAAAATTCGCAGACAGGTTTGTACAGTTCTGCTTTGGTAATTTGAAATCATCGGAGATGATTTAGTGATTTAATTATATGATGTGAATGTTAAACATCTTCTTAGACTTTGGAACGAAATGGGATATTTTGTCCAAGAGGGATTATGTCGCAATCTGGCGCAGGATGTTATATGTGATGTGGATGATATACAGGAGTCTGCTAGCCTTGCCTTGTGTGAGGCTGTAAAAGAACATCCAAGTATCACGGATGAGATCTTGGTGCAACTTATTGATGTTTACAAAGCCAAATTAAAGGTACGTGTTTTATATTTTTATCTGCAGACTAGATCATACAGATGCAGATCTCCGTGATAAGTTTGAATTAGAAAGTTCAGAATAGTTATTATTTCAGCTTCCAGCCCTGAAGCGAGATGAACTTGGAAGGATCGTTGGAGACAAATATCCAGATCGTTGGAAGGAAAGGCGCGGGATTGCGAAGGCACTTCGTGACATGGCTACTTTATTCACAGATGACGAGGTGAATGGCATAGTCTTGATGCTTGGATTCACTCCAGAAAAACCTAAATTTGTTATTTACTAATTTCTAGGTCGTTAAATTATTTACCTTTTTCGTCCCCACGGCCCTCGGGGATTGCAATGAACATGTTCGAGGGGAAATGTTAAAAGCTGCATTGGCTGCCGTCAATCATTTGGGAAAGGTATAAGGTTATCACGTTCTACAAACTTTCAAGATTTATCATTTGCGCTTTAAATATCAATGTTTCCTTTGTGTTAGGACAATACCTCATCTCTGTTGGAAATATTTGAAGAGTTCTTTGATAAAGCTCCAGATTCCTCCTCACATGACACTATTCGCCAGTCCGTTATCATATTGATGGGATGTTTAGCAAAACATCTTGACAAAGAAGATCCAAAGGTGAGTATTTTAAATATCCATTTTTGTGGATATTTTGGATTCTGCTCATGGACTTGTACTTGTTCGCAAAAATTAGTTTTTTTTTTAATTCGCAGTTCATATATGACAATTTTTTGTTTCAATTAAGGTTCATCCAATAATAGATAAACTACTTAGCGCTCTGTCGACACCGTCTCAACAGGTGAGTTCTCTTTGCATCATATTTCTTCAACGTTGCAATGACTTACTATAAATTCGTATTTTATTTCCAGGTTCAGGAGGCGGTCTCAAACTGTCTTCCTCCTCTTGTCCCAGCAATCAAGGAAGAAGCACCCGATATTATAAAAAATCTTTTAACAAAAGTTAGTTGTAACAGTTTGTTGTCGTTTTCAATGAAGAGTGATGCTTGATTTTGCTCTCATTTATCTCTTGTATAGTTACTAGACTCAACAGTCTATGGCGAGCGTCGTGGAGCGGCGTATGGGCTAGCTTCTCTTGTGAAAGGCTTGGGGATATTGTCGTTAAAACAACAGAATATAATGTCAACTTTGCAAGACGCTATACAAGATAAAAAGAACTACAGACACAGAGAAGGTTAATTGACCATTGTAGAGGAATAATTATAGCTTTCTCTTCTTGCTCATCATCTTTTTTTTCTGGCGAACAGGAGCTTTATTTGCATTTGAACTTCTCTGCCACATCCTTGGACGATTATTTGAGCCATACATAGTTCATGTCCTTCCTCATCTTTTACTCTGTTTTGGCGATGGAAATCAATTCGTCAGAGATGTAAGTTGATCAAAAATTTGTATGCGAAAGGTGTAACTTGTTTTATAAGCTTTAAATACCATAGTCTATATACAGTTGTCAACCGCAACTTTTCATTTATAGTGCACCTTAGGTGAATCTATTGCGTTGTGACTGGTTCATTTGATAGAGTTATCACATGATAAAGTTATGAAATTTGATTGGTCAATATTTTCAGGCAACAGACGACACGGCCAGAGCTATGATGAGGAATCTGAGTGCTCATGGAGTTAAACTTGTTTTACCATCGCTACTTAAAGCACTCACAGAAGATGCCTGGAGAACAAAGACAGGTGAAAATCTTTTTCTTGTGTTGGGTTACCATTTTCATTTATCTTACGCTGCTCGATAAATTTTGTTTGTCAGGGAGTGTTGAGCTGCTTGGTGCGATGGCGTATTGCGCCCCAAAGCAACTTTCCTCTTGTTTACCCAACATTGTGCCAAGATTGATCGAAGTCTTGACAGACTCTCATATCAAAGTACAGAAAGCTGCAGCTCAAGCGCTCAAACACATTGGTTCTGTCATACGAAATCCTGAAATACAAGGTTGGCCAGCATAGACTGTCTTCACTCGCGGATATTATAGTTGTACGTCATGCAATCATTTTCATTCCATATTTCTAGCCATTTCCCCTGTTCTTCTGGAAGCTCTGAGTGACCCAACATCGAAAACCACTGAAGCGCTTCAAGTTCTCTTAATGACGTCATTTGTTCATGTGATTGATGCGCCGTCATTAGCTATAATTATGCCCATCATTCATCGGGCTCTTGAGTCTAGATCTACAGAGACGAAGAAAATGGCGGCACAAATCATTGGTAATATGTACTCATTGACTGATCAGAAGGTTAGTACGAGATATTCAAAGTCTAATGTATTTAGAAATTTTCGGGTTTCAAAAAAGGAAACAGGATGTCTAAGCTTTAAATCGTTCATATTTTTTAGGATCTTAATCCATATCTGTCTTCAGTAATGCCAGGTCTTAAGCAAGCTTTATTAGACCCAGTCCCTGAGGTAGGTTTACTTCTTGTAATCCAATCAACTTTAGAAAGAGTTCTTGTTTAACCAAATAACTCTGCCCCCCCAGGTTCGCGCTGTGTCAGCACGTGCTCTTGGGGCTCTTGTCAAAGAACTGGGAGAAGGAAATTGTTCAGATCTTCTGCCATGGTTGATGGAGACTTTGATATCTGAAACAAGTAGTGTTGATCGCTCTGGTGCGGCACAAGGTTAGTTTTCCTAGCTTCTTAGTACACAGACTGCAGATTTCAGAAAAGACCTTTAAAATAACGTTGTACTACTATGTCCGGAAACAGCGTCACAACGCGAAGTTTTTATCATAAAGCTCTAACCTGTCTTTTCAGGTTTGAGTGAGGTGTTGTGCGGTTTGGGTTTTGAACGTCTTTCACAGTTGATGCCAGATGTGATCTCTGCAACAGAGAGGGCTGATATTGCAGCACATATCAAAGAAGGATATTTAATGCTCTATCTTTATCTGCCGTCGACGTTTGGCACAGAATTTACACCTTTTGTTGGAGATATCATTCCTTCTATACTCAAGGTATATCTACTATTTCTAAAAAAGCGTTTGAACCATTTATTACTCATGTTTTAGGATGTTAGAAATGTGTTTTATTTTTTATACACAGGGACTTTCAGATGAATCAGAGTTCGTACGTGGTACTTCACTTAAGGCTGGTCAAAGGATCGTCAGTCAGTATGCAACGACAGCCATTGAGGTATTCTTACCTCAGTTAGAACAAGGATTGTTTGATGATAATTGGAGGATACGTATATCTTCCATCCAGTTAATGGGAGATTTGTTGTATAAGATATCGGGTGTTTCAGGCAAGATGACGACAGAAGGAGAGGAAGATGATAACTTTGGAACCTCCCATTCAAATCAGGTGGGTTAGACTACGCATTTGAAGAAAAGTAATCTACAACTCCCCTTTCCATTCCCCCCAATTTTGCGTATAGTTCAATGATTTCGCTCAACGTTTCTTCTTTCTCAGGCGATCATAGACTGTTTGGGATATGAGAGACGTAATCGAGTGTTATCAGGGCTGTACATGGGTCGCTCTGATGTCTCGTTACCAGTCCGTCAAGCTGCTCTTCATGTGTGGAAAGTTGTCGTACCCAATACACCCCGAGTCTTGAGAGAAATCTTATCAACTTTGTTTTCATTACTACTGGGCTGTTTAGCCAGCACTAGTCTGGATAAACGACAGGTTGGTGTTTGATGTCGAGTTTTTAATTGTGACATGACAAGCTCGAAATCTTGTGCAAAAATAAGGATAGATAAATCGTAATCAAAGTAATAATATTTGATCCAATGCGACGAAAATGTTTATTTTTTGTTTTCCTATTAGATCGCTGCTCGAACACTGGGAGATCTTGTACGCAAGCTGGGAGAGAGGATATTGCCTGAAATTATACCGATTTTAGAGCGAGGGTTGGAAAGCAATGAAGCCGTTGAGCGACAAGGAGTTTGCATTGGTCTGAGTGAGATCATTGGCTCAACAAGCAGAGAACAGGTACAACTGAGACTTCACTTGCTTTTACACCGAAAAGGGAAAATTATTTAGTATGAAAATGAATGTACTGGTGTGCTATAGTGTATAACACTCGGAATTAATTTTTGTTTTCATAACAGCGGGAATATCAGAAGTGTTTCATGATTTTAACTCTCTTAGGTTTTGTTGTATGTGGATTCGGTTATCCCCACAGTTCGCAATGCATTGTGTGATCCACTGGCAGAGGTCAGAAGCTGTGCTGCTCAAACGTTCAATAATCTGTACAAAACAATCGGAGTCAAAGCGATCAACGACATTATTCCTATTCTTCTTGTGAAACTGGTAAGCTCTGGATTTGATCGTGTCATAGTTTGGTTCAATTTTAAAATATTCTACGAACTTATTAGATTGATCCTGATCAACATGAGAACACTTTGGATGGACTTCGCCAGATCATGTCAGTTCGAAGTAAAGAGGTTCTACCGTTTATCATTCCTCAGGTACATACGTCTTTCATGAAACCATCTTCAATATCAGTAAATCAATTTGTTATACCACGAGACCACGATAGTAATTCTTGTTCTAATCTGGAGCACACTTGCCCTCGCCACTGTTCGGAGACGACTTCCACTACCACTGCGTAGTGATTGGGTAATTTTACAGAGTTATCAGATTTCATAGGTTCCTTTTTGTTCATTGCAGCTTATCGCCGCACCTGTGAATACCCAAGCCTTGGCGTCCATGTCGTCTGTTGCAGGAGACGCTTTAACTGATCATTTGTCTGACATCCTTCCTGCTCTTTTACGATCAATCAGCCATGTTTCATCTCCTGATCAACAGTCCCAGGTGAGTACAATTGCAACCAGCCAAAACTTAGTTAAGAGCATCGCCAATATCGCAGTTGTTCCTAAATAATGAAAGCAATCAACTGAAAAAAAGATTACCTAATGATAAGAAATTACTCTCAACGCAATTATCTCAAGCGTTAGGAAATATTTAAGTTCATTTGAATTAAAGCCCTGTGGTGCCCTATTTGGGTTTTTCTTTTAAAACTTCGTTATCAGATCATTCTCAAAGTATACCTCACATCCACTTCGTTGATGTTGTTAGAATTTGGAGAACTCTCGAACACTGATATTGGCAATTCGAAATGATTCAGGAACTCAAATTGTGTTGGATGTTTTGATGAAATATTGCAAAGATGAAACAATTTCGATAAGAAAGGTAAAGTTTTATACCGGAAATGACAGCAGCCTATATGTTACTCATTATCCTCTTGTACTCCTCTTGTAGGCTGCTCTAAATCTGTTACATTCATATTGTACGTCAACCAAGGCAGATCTATCGCAATACACTCCTGCGTTGCTTCATTCTATCATATCACGATTCAACGATTCGGACCATGAAGTTGTTGAGATCAGTTGGAATGCTTTAAACGCCGTAACAAAGGTTAATTCACGAAAACGACAATAAATAATTTGTTTCAGGCGAATTGAATCAATATGAGAATGTTTCCATGTTATTCATTTAGAGACTTGGTCCACCGGAACAAATACAACACATTCCTCATGTTCGTCGAGCTATCAGATATATATCTGATGATCTAGAGGATAATTATGAACTTCCTGGCTTTTGTCTTCCGAAGCCCAAGGTAATTTGAAACGTATTGCTCAATAAGCCTTTAAGGCATTACATTAGATGTTCATGCTAGGTGGACTTTCACCAATACATTTACAACGATTATCTTGTTCAAAATATTCTTTCAGGGCATTACCCCTTTACTGCCGATATTTCGGGAAGGAATTCTCAATGGGGCTCCTGATGTTAAACAAGACGCGGCTGAAGGACTGGGTCAGGTTATAAAACTGACATCAGCATTGGCCCTTAAACCTTCAGTCGTCAGTATTACTGGACCGCTAATACGCATCTTAGGTGACCGTTTCAGCTGGAATGTTAAAGTGGCTGTACTTCAGACCTTGGGATTGCTTTTAGTCAAGGTAAATGTTAACGTCATTTTTTATAACTTGGTTATAACAAATTATATACAGCTTATAACTTCCATTACTTTCATACATTTTAACGAGATGCTATATTGATTTAATTGTTTCATTCCCAGGTAGGAATTGTCTTAAAACCTTTCTTACCCCAGCTGCAAACAACTTTCATAAAGGCGTTAAATGATCCAAACAAAATAGTCCGTGAACAGTCGTCGACAGCTTTACAACATTTAGTTAAACTGCATTCCCGAGTTGATCCTCTATTTACTGAACTGCACAATGGAATAAAAAATACAGAAGATAATCAAATCAGGTTTGCCGACTTTACTGATTTTCCATATTTGTATGATGGCAATCACAAAACTAAAAACGCTAAATTTTGCTAAAACACCGATCTTTAATATAGAGAAACTATAGAACAGGCATTGCGTGGAATTCTGTTCAGTGTTGGTAATAAGATGGGAGACAATGTTCGGCAAAATTTAACACAAACCTTGCTTTCGTTCCAAAGTCATGCAGAGGTATGTTCAATATTACCAACTTGGTTTATTAAATACCGTTTACTGTAAACTGCTATCATGTCGTCCAAGTGTTTTAACATTTGTGTTTTTTATGAAGGAAACTATTCGTATTGCTTCTGCTGGGTGTCTTGGGGCTTTGGCAAGAATTACTCCTGATGACGAGTTAACCAGTTTGGTGAAAACTGATATTTTAGGTATGCTTTGATCTCGTAGCACAGATTTCAACTGATCACAGTTTACCGTGATCTTTATTGTAAATGACTACAAATTTATTTTCAAGTGAGCGATTCAACGGTTGAGTGGACATTACGTCATGGTCGATGTCTAACAATATCTGCGTTGTTTTATGATTGCTGTGAAAGATTGATTTTTCTTAATTTATTCGAAACTTTACTTCAACTGACAAACACACTCTCTTCAAACGACCGGGTAAGAAGACTGATTTAATCCATGAAATTGTCTTCGTGATCCTTGTATTTATATCTATGTTTGAAGAAAATATTGAGATCATACATGATCTATCTGTTATTAGATTCCCATTTGTAAAACAGCAATAAAATGCTTGGGCTACGCAGCTGTCAACTGTGTAAAAGAAAGAGATTTTCCTGAGGAGATTATTCCATCAATAACTAAGGTCTAGTACAAATCATTGATCTTGCAAATAAATCATTTCATACAAAGGTTAACGGTGGGTTATGGTGGAATACCATTCTTATTTTTTTTCACTATATTTCTTATGTGTAGGGAATACAACATTCATCTTTGGATATTCAAGTTTTGACTTGTGACGCCATCTACTATATTTCCGAGAAGATACATGACATACCAGTATCATTTCTTAAATCTACCATTTCTGGATTACTTCCTTTATCGAAAGAAAAAAACACATCATTGAAATTTGCCGCAGAGATGGCTCTTGTTTCCTTGTTGAAATCTGGTAATGATCGGTTTCAGGTTAGTCTCGTAGGAAATATTCCTATAAGTCGTTTCGTATTCTTGTGTTTTAAAAGTATTTAATCTTGTGTGAAAACTTTAATATTATTCTCTCTAGAAATCTTTGACAAGTCTTGATGCATCAACAGCAAACATCCTCAATGAATTTTACAAGAAAACAATTCCTAGAATATTAGAACGCAACGATGCTGTCATCTGCGAGCTAGATGATCCCTTCTCATCTGAACTGTGATGAAGTTTTAACATCATTTAAAAGTGGTTTCCGCGAGCAGCGCACTCTTCAAATGCTCCCCAAGATAATGCAATTAAACTGGGCTGAATATGATGTTGACTTTTAATTTAACACGGGAAAAAATTCCGCAAGATTGTCCTTTTTTGAAACGTTATTTTTACGTAACTACCTGAAACATTTTAGACTAAATCCAACGTGGCTCTAATAAAATCATCAAGTCGCGTGAAAACAAGTCAAGAGAATAAAAACAATTGAATTACCGCTGTGTCCTAATTTCTCAATCAAGCGAATTATTCATTCACTTCTTGTAAAGTGATACATGTTTGCAAAAAATTAAATTTACGATTGCAATTATTATGCACAAAAATGCATTCAAAATAAGACCAGTTGTCATGTCCAGGCCACGTTTTCGGCTTGGCAATCTAGCAATGTCATTTATAAAGCTATATTTTCTTGAAAGAACTAATATTTTGCTAAAAAATTTATTTAATGTGTATATATGTGCAACATGACGTACAATACAAACATCCGTTCTAAACACGGGCTCATCTGGGATAGAGAAACGTGTTGATTTTGAAAGAGCGAAGACATTTTGTATTACAGATTGTATTTCTGTATTTTTTTAATCTAAATTTACTATTTATTCTGTGCAAAAACACTTGAAAGAAGAGAAATACACATGGATACTGTGTTGCCTGTATTTCATGGCATAGCTGTACGAGAACAGGTAAGATTTTACTCTGTAGTTTCGCATGGTTTTATATTGGTTTCGGTCATGAGTTTTGCTTGTATCTATTTTAAAAGTAAGTCATCACCATAACTTACAATCGACTCCCACATTCAGATATCTCAGGATTTTAATGTTTTAAAATTTATATGTTCTCTTCTACTTTAATGAGCTTGGAGCACTCTATATTTTGATTTGCATGCAATATACATAATTATATAAATGGAAAGACAGGATAGTAAAATCTATATATATGGATAATAATTATATGGATACCAATTAGTGTTGAAGGATCTTAATTTCCAGTTCAATTCATGCCCATCTGAAATTCAAGCGAGGTGCAGTTAAAAAATTGTGCTAACTTTGTTGTAGGTCCACAGGCAAGAATTAAACATAAGCTTTTGCGATGCTGGTGATTTATAGTGTGTGTATTTATGTAGGATGGTAATGCCTGCTTGATACAGAGTGAAGTGCCACAAAACTTAATTAATTTACCCTCACCTTAATGTCTATTAGGTTGGTGAACTTCGAGCTTATCTTAAATCAACGGTGCAACAATAGAAGATGATGGTCCAGAGGATTTAAGTGAAAATCTTTCAGAAATATTTTCTGTTTGCATTGATGTGATAAAGACATGCAGTGAGGCAGGTAATAGTATTTTAACATCTAGTTATCTTAGGTTGCTCATTATGTTTTAATTTTTCACTATTTATCTTTTTTTAGAGATTGAAGGTTTCCTCAACAGCTTGTTATCATTAATATTTGCACTTACCGAAAAACGTGATGAAGTCATTTGTGCCTTTTTGGAATGTTTGGTTGAAATGACATATCATGCTGAACTAAGACATAGATTGTAGGTCTTATCAATCATTTCAAATGTTCAAGTGCAGAAATAATTATATTAACATACAGTATTTTAAATTGGTAGTAGCAAAGTGGCAGTTGGTCTTAAATCTTGTGTTTAAGACAGTAGCAATCTCTTTGAATATGTTTTAATATAAAATAATATTAATTTAATTGTAGAATGAACCTTTTGTTTTGTGGTTTGAACAAGATGGATCCAATAAGATATAATGTGTATTGCCATCAGCTAGAGTTATCTGCCAACTCTGGTGTTCTTGAATTGGTTAACACAGATATTGATCAAGTGGGTGATTAAATTAAATTAAATGAAAAAATCTAAAATCAATGTTTTTTTCCTAATATATACTTAAAACTTCAATGGTTTATTTAATTATTCTTATTAGGTGAAAATCTGGCTAGCTCAATGGAGTGATGTGGAGAAATCTAGAAAAATTTATCGCCTGCTTCATGACTCATTTGTTGCAAACAAACAAAGGTAAATAGCATAATTATTACTATAATATAATAGTGTGGTTACTATGGTATAACAACTGCCTAAAAAAATTTCATGATGTTTTAACCAAGGATTTGTGTGGTTCCTCCTTCAGTTTTCAATTTTTTTCTTAAAATTCCTTCAAACACTTGTATTTATAATATGCCAAAACGCTTTCTTCTCATTTAATAAACAATGACCAAAAAACGTTTAAGCAAATTTTATAATTTTTAGTCACATGTGAATCAGGTCTTGTTAGATCCCGTTTTGTTTTTGGATTTTTTCCTCAAAATTCCAGCAAATGTAAACAATAAAAAATTTTATTTTCTCAGAATATGTGTTAATGTTCACATGGTAATTAGAAAAATAACATCATGGTTATGGTAACAATTATTATCCCATAGGGACAACGCTGCTTTGGTGATGATAGAATTATTGAAAACATATCCTGAGGATAGCAATGTAGAAGCAAAGGATGATGCAATAAAATGTATTGTATCTTTTATTGACCGACCAAATGTTTGGATCATGGACCATTTGCTAGAACTTGGTCCTGTAAAAAGTCTGAAAGGGGAGTTAATATACCAGGTATTATAATTCTTTTCTGTGATTATAAGTGATATTTACTTATGAAATATAGTAAAGACAGTGACCTGTCCTTTCATCGGCCGTCTCAAGAATTTTAGATAAAAGCAATATAAGGTTTCATTTGATATAATTTCAGATACTAGAAATATTTGTGAGTGGTAATATTCAGGATTATATGAAGTTTTATGAAGATAACTCCAACTTTTTGATGTCTACAGGTATTCTTTGTTTTTTATATTTACACATATTTTCTGTAATGTTGAATGTGATCATTTTTGGGATTAGGTTTGAATCATGAAAGAAATTTAAGAAAAATGCGAATTCTCAGTTTTGTCACATTGGTCAATGAACATGGTGAAATAACATTTGAAGAATTATCCAAAAAGTTGGACATTAATGTTGATGATGTGGAAAGTTTTGTAATTAATGGTATGCTTGTTTTTCAATCAGAAAATATTTTTAAATCTTTCATCATACATCATGTACATACGCTCTTTTTTAGTATTGAAGACAAGGCTTGCTCATGTGAGGATAGATCAAATTGAAAAACAAATTATTACAAGGTAATTTGTAACACTTTTTTCAATTGATCACTAAATACCTATGCTTCTCATAAATAAATATATCCACATGTATAGATATAGCTACTAAGCTGTGTATGTCTGCAGATATATAATTATAAATGTGTTGTTTGCTTTACAAAATATTTGTTTTGTTCTGTACCTAATGTAGTTCTGCAGCGCACAGAACATTCCAAAGGAACCAATGGAGAATATTGCGACAAAAGCTGAAAGAATGGCAAACAAATTTACAATCTGTAGAAAAAACTTTTAGACATATAGTCACTGATGTATCCTCATGGTGCAACAGAACTTAACATGCCTCTTTAGATGTTTATTCATGTAATTTGACTTAAGAAGTAAAACAACAGGTCTTCACTATCGCAATTCTTTCTAATTTTTTTGTGGATTTGACCACAAAGATCTGTCACCACCAGGCCAACCATAGGCGGACCAGGTGTATCACACCTAGAGTGGGCTTCAAAATTCTATTGTTAAGAGTTTTATACAACCAGCCCCTAACCGGGCCCTGGATAGAAAGCTAAACTATATTATATTAAAGCAGCGTTTCTGTTTAGACTATATTAAAGTAAAAAAAATGGCTAAAAGAAATTGCTACCAGGAACCGAGAAAAAAGTTGTTTTAGTTTAGTTTGAAAAGATTAACGCGAAAAGAGAAGGCTTTTATATCAAGCTAAGAAGTAATAGCCATTAATCGCTTCACGGAGCGGAATTTTGCTAATCACTTACAACGGACAATAGAAATATGCAAAACATATTTATTTGGCTAACTTATATGTATTCTGGGCAAATCTGGCATGAGTTAGTTGATTATCTATTGTTGTAAATGCGTTCATTGTCCGTTGGAATTTTCTTTGTCGTTGAAATAATAAAAGGCGGTTGAATCTAGACGAAACTCAGTCTTTGCAGTCTCGAAAAAGAAGCATCAGTCGAAGAAGTTCAGGAAAAGTTGAAAGAGTCTTGCTCAGGTACATGGTGATAGTTAGTTTGAACAGCTGTTGGCTTTTTCTTTGACTTTGTAAATGAATTGACTGATCGCTGTGTTGATTTGAATAGCGTGGGAAGACGTGAGCGAGTGGAGCCATATTCTTGCCGATTATTATTGCTTTATCTTGTATATTTCGATTGAAAATGTCCAATGCAAATGAGCTGTTACTTTAATTTAGTTTTTCCTTGCTTATTTGATTTCAGAACGAACTACGGCGCCGAAAGATGGGGAAGGAGAAACGTAAAGGCTTGCTCGCAGCGAATAATAGGTATTGTTCTATTAATATATGTGTATTTTTCATTTTGCATTTGTGACTTGAAAAAACACGTTGGCACTTTGTTTACGGACAGTGAAGGTGGACGAAACTAGAATAGTTTTGATATATAGAAAGGAATTCGAAGTTTATGACCGTAACTAACTTTCCCGGCTGGCCTATTCGTTTTTCGGACAGGGTTGCCCAAACGCAAAGGGAATGCTCGTTTTCAAAGGGAAAGATGAAACTCAGTGCCTATATAATTATTTGTATTCGTATATGATTGTACTATGCTAGACTTCCCTGTCCTTTTGTTTTACCGAAGTTCTGTTTTTGTAGAACGAAAGAATCGTAAAGAGATGTTGGACATGCCTTGGGACATTTATGCACGCAAATACAAAACTCGATTTCGACAATATGCATGAGTAAAAATTGCATGGAATTTGGCTTTTTTGACTGAGATATAAACTGAACACTCTTCTGTTTACCTCCTTCATTTTCAAGTTTTCCGCCTGTGCATGATTTTTGCATGAAGTCTGGTCGTATCAAGCGCACGCGGAGTGAATACAAGTGATTCTGGGGCCCCAATCACTTGTGTTTTCTCCATCTTGACGACTATGTAGTCCGGACAAAAATATCGCTCAGAGAGCGCCTAAAACATAAAAACATGAAATATGTATTTCTGGAAGGAGATGATAGTCCAGTGTTCTTGTTTTCTTTGTACCAAAACGTGCATGACATTTTGTTTTAAAACGCGCATGACATTTTGTATTAAAACGTGCATGACATTTTATATTAAAACGTGGATGACATTTTGTACTAAAACGTGCATGAAATTTTGTATTAAAACTTGCATGAAATTTTGTACTCAAACGTGCATGACATTTTGTATTCAAACGTGCATGACATTTTGTATTCAAACGTGCATGACATTTTGTATTCAAACGTGCATGATATTTTGTATTAAAACGTGCATGATATTTTGTATTAAAACGTGCATGACATTTTGTTTTAAAACGTGCATGACATTTTGTATTCAAACGTGCATGACATTTTGTATTCAAACGTGCATGATATTTTGTATTAAAACGTGCATGACATTTTGCATTAAAACGTGCATGACATTTTGTATTCGCGTGCGCAATGCGAAGGCCACGAGTGACTTACGTTGGAGTTTTGGAGGTTCGATATAATTTATCCTGAGTGCTTTATACATAAGTGACATTTCTCTCTTGGAAATTATTCATATCATACTTTTGTTGTCAGATGATGACGGATCGTCGCAGGATCAGGAGGATTATCGCAGCATCAGATGTTCAAGAATCGTCGCAGGATCATATGGTATGGTATGGTATGGTATGGTATGGTATGGTATGGTATGGTATGGTATGGTATGGTATGGTATGATATTGCTACCTAAGTGATATTTGTGACTTGAAAATTAATGTCATATCATTTTGATAAAGTATCGTTGCAGGATCAGATGTTGAAGGATCGTCGCAGGATCTGATGATGAAGGATCGTCTCAGGATCAGATGGTGTGGTATGGTATGGTGTGGTATGGTGTGGTATGGTATGGTATGATACTGGTATCTAAGTGATATTTGTGACTTGGAAATTAATATCATATCTTTGTTCTAAAGTATCGTTGCAGGATCAGATGTTAAAGGATCGTCGCTGGACCAGACGGATCGTCGCAGGACCAGACGGATCGTCGCAGGATCAGTGATGAATTAGATGTTGGAGGAGCGTCGCAGGATCAATGATGAATTAGATGTTGGAGGAGCGTCGCAGGATCAGTGATGAATTAGATGTTGGAGGAGCGTCGCAGATCAGTGATGAATTAGATGTTGGAGGAGCGTCGCAGGATCAGTGATGAATTAGATGTTGGAGGAGCGTCGCAGGATCAGTGATGAATTAGATGTTGGAGGACGTCGCAGGATCAGTGATGAATTAGATGTTGGAGGATCGTCGCAGGATCAGACGGTTCGTCGCAGGATCAAGTGGAAGCTGGTTGAGGTATATACTATAGGTATGCATGATTAGTGCATGCTGCATGGCATTGGATCCTCCTGGTGGTCTAACCTAGTATATTCACACATCAAGTGACATTTCAATCTTTTCGACTATGCATGATAACAGGAAATTTCTCACAGCTCTTATGAGGGCATTTTTCGAGTTTTCTCGATAAAAAATTCCTAGTTTTGTCACTTGTGTGAATACGTGTAAAATCCAACGACGTAGCGTCTGCGTATTCATGATGGCTTTAAAGCGTTCAAAAGAAACTAACAAAATGCAATTTGTTAGAGAAAATATCGAATTCGTATTAGCCTAATTTTAGATGAATACGAAGGTAATCGCGAGTACTTATATGATTATATAAGTTCTCTGTTCAGCCTGTTATAATGCGTTTCGAAGGACCGTCCGTCAGTGGCAACAAAAATTATACCTTAGCATGGAATTTTGAAGTTTGAAATGAAAAAATAATGAGTGCTTTGCTGTTTAGACACTAGTACTCTTCTTTTTCCCTTGTTCGTATTAATTTTTGGTTTGCAGTTGTAAGCTTTGAAAATCCGATTAATCCGAACATGAAGGAAATAAACGTAATCTAATCACTTTGACTAACTTGATGAAAATTGTATAAGAGGAAAAAATATACCTCCCATATTGCATTGCATTGATAACTGGACTTGTAGTGGGGGGTATCTCGAGGTATAATGTTTAAACTGTAGGTTTAATATTGTATAGTACTCTCTTGCCTGAAAAGCCAACCCTTTAAAGAAAACCCTTTGCATTTTGACACACTTACTATGTTGTTTTCTTACACGCCCAACCGTCGAGATGCTGTTGAAGAAGAACATAACTGTTTGGAGTGGAGCAACGAAGCAAGTGAAATTCGATACATGTTTACCAAGGTAATTATACGTACGAAAATTTAAAGGTAAGGGGACATTATTGATTAGCTATATTGAGTAAGTTGCATGTTCAGCCCGATTACGTTTATTTCCTTCATATTCGGTCAACCGTAATCCAGAACGTATAAAATAAAAATAAAAACAGTGCATGAGGCTTGTTCTGGTCATCCCACTTGATACTGTCTCCCAGAGAGTTTGATGTGGATGAGCTGTAACTTCCTGAGCTCAATCGTCTTGAGCTACGGGATGATTGGTGACTTCGACCATAATAGTCTTCGCCTCTGCGATAACTGAAAGGGAAATATTGAGAAGGTCGACTTTAGCGCTCGACGAGTGCACAAAAAGTATTGTAAACAACTTTGTCATTCATAACAATACGTTGCAAGCATTATTACTTTTCTTTCAATCATAAACAAATGTAGAACTATAAGCCATGAAAAGCTTTGGATCAGTAAGGACAATATCTATGTCCAATTTGGAATGGAGCCTTGTAATTTGCATCAAATCGTTCTCGAATGCAGTGAAAGTTAAGAACTTACGAATCTTCATAGTCGTAGACCGTTCGTTTCGAGTGACGGTTGTTACTTCGTCGAGCCCGCGAGCTCGATCGTGATGAAACTGAACGTGGAGACTCGGTGCGAGATGATCGTCCTGAACGAGAATCACGCCGCTGTTTACGCCGCTGACTATCACCACTGGACCCGCTAGAGCCAGACTCCCCGCGATGGTAATCCCGATCATAAGAATCACGATAATATTTATCATAATATGCTCGGTCGTTGTAGTCTGTTCGTCTTCTACCCTGGCTCTCTCTTCTTCGCTCACGATTGCGACTTCTTCTCGAGTCAGATCTGTGATATCGTTGATCATCATACTGGCTTTCTCGCCTGCTGCTTAAAACAAATAGTTTGTATGAGAAATACTGTTGTCTGAATTCAAACCACTTCTGCAATAAAACAGCACTTACTTCTCTGCACGGATCCACCGTTCTCTTTTGAAAGACCAGAACCACTTCCTGCTCTCATCATAATATCGATTGCATTCCTCCTCTGAATCAAAATCTTCATACTGTGTATCAGTGTTGCCATGCTGCTGCCATTGATCAGTATCGTTGGTTGAATACTGTAGATTAACATTGCTGCTAACTTGCTGTGGGTATTGCCCGCTAATTTGCCTACAAATGAGAGATTACTTTAGTTGAACACGAGAGGATAATGTGCGATCAATTTGGTGTTTTAACAAATTTCGCCAGTAATTTCATGATCTCGTGAATGTGCTTGCCAGTTCGCCTAAGCAGTCAATTAGTCTTAGTGCAAGAAACATTGGCTTCTACGTGCAATATTGTCTATTACTTTACTACTGCTTTCGGTGGCTTGTAAGGTGGTTTTAAGAACTCATTTACCTTTCCACTTTTTGATGTTGAATATTCTGCTGGTACTCCTGTGCCTGCAACTGTTGTTGCTGCTGCAACTGTTGTTGCTGTTGCAACTGTTGTAGCTGTTGCAAATTATGTTGTTGAGTAAACTGATTCGGTTCAGACCTTTGTCGCTGTACGTTCATGTGTGCTCCTCGCAGGTGCTGATTTTGCGAGCTGACCTCATCTTGAAACAGCATTTGTTCGTACTGTTGTTGCTTGTACTGCAATTGTTGCTGTTGGTATAACAACTGATGCTGTTGCTCTTCACTCGAGGAAACCATACCTTCACTCTGGCCAGAACCATAACCAGCACTGGTAGCAACAGGATGACCAACATGACCATCTGCGCCACCATACTCAGGGACCATTCCCCCACCACTACCTTCACGCATCCGAGCATGCTCGCTCTGAGGCAACCCGGCACGCACTGCAGAGTGGCTGGCGTCAGGGTGCGTGAAGGAGTTCTGGGGGAGACCGGTCATGGTCCCAGAAGTAGGGGCAGTCTGTTGCAAGTGCTGGTCAGGAATCTGGTTTGAGGAAGGAATGTTGTTGACTACAGGCGCTTGGATGACATTTGGCCTAAAAAATTAAAAGTATCAACAGTCTAGTCCGTTAAATTGAAATCTAAATAAATAATTCGCCCCCAAGAAACACCATGAAAACTTTGTACTGAATGGGTTTTAATCCGTTTACGCCGTTTACTAATAGGTTACACTAGCTCTGTTTATATTCATTGGTTATGTACTTGTTAATATCGGTATTACATTTAATTTTTAATGTAATACTTTAATTCTACAACTTGACTCTTAATTTTAAGCTCTTAATGAACGCTTAATTTTAACATGCTTTCTCTTAAGCCAAGAGTCGTCCACGTTGACTCCAACGTTTTAAATGACGGTTAATAAACGCAGGTTACGAAGAATGAATATTAATACCGAAGAAACAAATAATAAAGACAACAAATAGCTAAACAATTTAAAAATTATGAAATGCGTGCACAATAGGGAGATTTAGCATGAGGACGTGAACGTCAAAGACGACGTGAAAATGGCGAGTAAATGGCGTGGCATGTCCATATTTGGGTGCATCACGCCATTTATTCGCCATTTTTACGTCGTCTTTGACGTTCACGTCCTCGTGCTAAATCTCCCTAATGTCTTGTAAAAACCTGCGTCTACCCTGCTGACACTTCTTTCGCTCTCTATACATCCTAGAATTTTATTAATCTTCCTATATTCTTTACTTTAACTAAACAATTACTGAACGATTACTGATATCTCAGATTATTGTTACTTGTTAGATTATGGTTAGTAGTTTGAGATTTTGGACCATCGTGAGACAATAGTTCCTTAGTTTGTCGCGCATTTGAAAACGGATTTCGAACGAGGTTTGAAAAATCACTATTCTTAGTAGAGAACCATACTCACCGTTGGATATTTCCTCGGTTTAGACTAGATGGCTTGTCGATAACATCATGAACAGGGTTTCCACTGGCGAGTTCTTGATTTGAACTTGAAACACCAAGTGAACTTTGGCGACTAAGACTGGATGTTGAGTCACAATCACTTCTCTGCGAAGCAGCTGCTAACAGGGTTTGCTGAGCGGCGCTGGAGGCCACAGGTGGATTTGGCAACTTTGATGGAGTACCACTGAATCGATTACTATTCTGGCGGTTGGCCATGCACATTCATAGCTCTTTGAGAACTGTTGTCGAATCCATGGCGATTAACTTGGTCATGGCTGGAAACTGGAACAAACTGATTTCCACGATTCCCTGTTTGGACAATAAGACCAGGTATGGCCTAATGAGGATCATTGTCCCAGAGAGAAGTATGAATTTTAGCACTTTGAATTAAAGCTTCCTTTTTCTCGCGCTGTACTGGCGAACGAAGCGGAGATTCTAAGTGTCGAACTCTTTCTTCGTAGTCTTGGGAGCTCGGGGAGTTTGGCTTCACTGGCATAAAGGCCGACGGATGCTGGTTCGGGTCGACGGTATCCAGTTGTTGCCTCCCTTTGGTCTCGGACGAAGCAATAGTTGCTTTATTGGTGTTCTGTGGTGCCATACCAACAGGAAACATGGTAACCGAAGGGCCCAAATGTTGACTGGAGTATGGTTGCTGGTTCCCCGATGTTAGGTCATCATTGGAGATGTTGGTGCTTGTGTTAGCCGGAGGTGTATCAAATTTGGGATCACTTGTATTGAGTGAATTCACTCGTTCGTGACCAAATGCCGGAACTTGCTGGTGACCTGACAGTGAATTACCATCACGAGATTCATCGTCACGAGCGGACATGGTGTCCAAGTTAGGTAAACCGGGTTCAAGATTGGCTGAACCGATAGTGCTAGCACCATGGTTACCAAATTGTGCTGACTGATCGTTTGACGATGGGTGAGTATAAAAAATCCCGTTGGACTTTTCACCCACATTTACTGGTCCACCTGTTTGTTGCAATGTTGATGCTTGTTGGGTATTCCGTGGAGTACCGTGAGGATCAATAACGTCCCACTGAGTTGGTTCAGCTTTGACATCGTCGCTTGATGCCTGCGAACCAAATGGCTGAGTAGCCGGTTGCCATGCTGTTTGATGGTTATTGGGCAGTTGCTCTTTACTAGTAAAAGGTACCACGCTGCTTGGTCCCAACTGCGGTGTATCAGGTTGTACAACGTCTGAACGTAAAGCCTGATTATTTCCTCGTTGTTTATAGAAAATCCAGGCTGAGACGCTTCAGAATTAGCGGGATTATCAGACGTGAGGGATGGAGCAAGTTTTCTTTGTGCCAACTGTGCCGCAGATTGGTTCTCAGCGGGTCCTCTGTTGACGTCCCAGCACCAGCTGGTGAAAATAGATAAATTTGATTCTGTGCCAAGAACTTTTGGCCGTCTTCCATAAAGAACCCTTGACTTGGACCGGCAGGTTTAGTGGCTGGCAAAAGATTGTGCCCAGGAGAAAAACGTTCACCAACATTGTTGTTGGTGGTGTTCATCATCTCTAAAGATGGCGGAGGCAAATGTGCCGATTTACATCACGCTTGATATTGGACGGTGGAAATTTGCTTGATTCCCCAAGATCCATTCCCGGTGGGTACAAGGAGCCGCTTTGACCTACTGGTTTGCTGGTTGTTAAACCTGGTGGGTCGAAGCCGGCGTTACACTCTGCGACGATGGACCAGCGGCTTGGTCAATAGCATCATTCACCATTGCTGGTGGATATAGACCAGAAGTTGTAGTTTGAACAGCTGGAAAAGCGTTGTGTTGTGTAGGATATAAATTGCTGGCAAGTTCAACTGGTTGTTTTCCAATTGGATCGTAAGTTTCAACAACGTCTTGGCCTGGTAATGTTTCGCCAGAAGTCTTACTCTGGTTACCCAATACGGTATTGGGTCTAGGAATACCACTGAATGCCATAGCTGAATCAGAAGATACTGTGGCTGTGTCCCCAAGTGAATAATTTTTCTGGTCGAAATCAGGAAAAGTTGAACTCGATGGCGGTGCGTGCAAGTTTTGAGCTGAAGATGCATGGTAGGTGTTTTGGTCTCGACTGGAAGGTGGTTCAACTTGAGATGCTGCCGATTCACTGTGGTCGAAAGGCCATTTCCCTACTTTAGGTTCTTCCTCTGATGCTTCTGTATGCTGAAAAGAATGTTGTGCATCGGTGTTGATCGAAAAACCAGGCACTCCATCTCCTGCTACAAAAGAAGGAAATCTTCGGCTCTCCTCCTGACTAGAACTAAAACCTTTGAAAGGATCTTTCTGGTGCTGCCCGGAAAACAACTGTGACGTTCCACCACCAGGAGTAGATGATTTTGCCACGTTAAACAGGTCGTTTCCAGTATGGGCAGAAGGCTGTTCTGGCAAATTTGACCCGTAAGATGGTGGAGTCAATGTTGCATGGTTCTCAGCATCCGAGAGCTGTTTGGCATGAGGTGTTTCTTTAGTAGTTGAAGCACAAGCTTCACTAAAGAGTTGAGCTGTTGAATATTGCTCCTGTGCCCCATATGATGGTTCTTGCATCGACATTGCGTGGTCTCCTACATTTTGACGTGGATGTGCATACGCGCTCAGATTTGCTGATTCAAAATTTTGAGCGTTTGTCGCTGGCGATACGAAACGTTGCTTGGCTACATTCGATGTTGGTGGCAAGGCCGGGAACGATGTTTGATTCTTGTTAGGCGTAAAGAAACTGTGGTCAACACGATGAAAGGGTGCAGTGCCGGAATCGGATGAACCAAAGCTGTCAAAGAACTCGTGTGCCGACGAGTGTTGATTGTTCGACATCTTATTCTTACAAGGCTGATCTGAGGAGGAGCTGTCTAACAATGTTACTTCGGAGAATAAATCCACCTGACTTGCTTTAATAGCTGCTTGAACTAGGTCTTTAGCAACGGCCCTCAAGATGTATTCGTCTGGTGGAACGGTCGAAGTCGACGTTTTTAATAATAACGCCTGAACTTCTACAAACTTCTTAACTTGAGAGGCAGATGAATCAAAACGCGATATTTGCTCGGATATTAACTCTTCTTTGCTGGTCTCAATAGCTGCTTGAACTAAATCTTTTGCAACGGACCTTAAGATGTTTTCGTCTGGTGGAGGTGTCGAAGTTGGTGATGTTGGTCCAACTTCAACTTCAACTCCTTGAACTAAGTTTTCAACAACTTGTTCAACGACGTATTCGTCTGGTGGAAGGGTTGAAGTTGGTGCTTTAACTTCAACAAATTTCTCAACCTTAACAGTTGTTTTAACTTCCGGAGCTGGTGTCGAAAAATACTTGGCAAGTGGATTGGTTACACCAGTTGCTTCAACAGGATCGTTGGAAAAGGCTTCCAAGATCTTCTTGTTTACTGGGTGACGGTGTTGGAGTAGCCGCTTCCTTTGAGGTAGATGATGTATTTCCTCGCGTTGAAAAATACTTGGCAAGTGGATTGGTTTCACCAGTTTCTTCAACAGGATCGTTGGAAAAGGCTTCAAGATCTTCTTGTTTACTGGGGGTGACGGTGTTGGAGTAGCCGCTTCCTTTGAGGTAGATGATGTATTTCCTCGCGTTGAAAAATACTTGGCAAGTGGATTGGTTTCACCAGTTTCTTCAACAGGATCGTTGGAAAATTCCAAGATCTTCTTGTTTACTGGGGTGACGGTGTTGTCAACCGATGGGTTAGGTTACAGAGTTTTGGTGGTTCACCAAAATCCAAACCACCGTTCTTTGTAACAATTTGATTAACTGGACTTGTGGCAATTGATTGTGAGTTTCCGTTGGATGGTACAGGTCGGTTTGTTGGAAATCTAGCCGGAACTATTTAGGTTTCCTGGGGTTGCTTGGTGGTCTTGGGCAACGTCGGTACCTCCGTCGGACAGTAGTGGCTTCCGGTTCGGTTCTTGCCGATTCGTCGACGCTTAATATTGGCACACTGCGTCGTCGTTCGAAGCGGACTCGTTCAAAGCGGACCTCACACTCCTGTGAAAATAGAGATCTTTAGAGTTGACTACGAGTTGAGTGGAACGACAAGATTCACTCGCAACAACGATACGGGATTCTCCATCATGTTTTCAAATAATCCAAAACTTTATCCCGCGATCTATCCTATCCCAAGGGGCATTACTCACTCGTAATCAACCTAAAGCTCTATATAATATCAACAACACAAGATTTCACTGGTTCACAGTGCGGTATATGTAGCTAAATGTGCTATTCCAATACTGGAATTACTCATCCTTCTCCTAGCATTTAATTTTAAAGAGGAACATTTCTGGCTGGAAGCTACCGCATCAAACCAAGTAGTCAACATTAATCGAACAAAAGAACAATAATAGATCCTTTCACACTGACGTCAAATGGCGTTCATAAACTCTACCAATTGCGCATGCGTGCTAGCTTTCACCGCGGTGTCATGGCCAGTCCACATCAATTAAATAGCGAGTTTAAGATGCACCAAATCTACGACGCGGACGTCACATGAAAAACGTGTGTTAGGAAACCAGTATTAATTTGTTTTACATACGGCTCTGACTTTGTTTATGAAAAAGAGTCTTCGTAGATTTTGTGCATCTCAAACTCGATCACTAATAGCTAAGAAAAAACACGACGCTGTAAAGCAACGGTGAAGAAAGAATAAAGATTCTAGACAAAAAATATCGTTAAGACGTTTGTAAAATACTTGCCTGATGTTGTGCCAAACTTGTCGCTTGTCGATGATCATTGTTGTAATATGTATAAATTGTTATAGTATAGCTACTCACTGTATATGAGCTATTCCGCAATTTGATTGGTCGAGCTATACCCACCGTATATCAGCTCATATACGATGGATAGTAAAACCAAAGAAAAAGCAAAATGGCTGACCGAATTAATTAATTATTATTTTCATGTAAATATGTATTAAATTGTTAATAAACACTTTTGTCGCGCAACAAATGGTATTTGGCTTGTTAGTTATACTAACATTACTTTAAATCGGATTATATTGCTATAGTTGCTGCGATTTTTACTGGATTGTTATAAAGCTTGTATTCTCTGTATCAAATTGTCCAAACCATATTTGCTTGTCTTCACTAGACTAAAGATAGTTGTTATACATGCGCTTTCTCCTCTAAGTATACATGTAGCTACTCACGTTTTCGTATACCACAAATTGTTCTCTTGGATCTGATGTTCTACGAGCGGCATGACTGCGTGAAAAATTGATAAAATACCGTCAGCAAATGTAAGATTGATATTT